ATGCAAAAAAACTTATTGCGCTAGCTTACGTGGTTGCAGTGCTACCGGGATTTAAAAATAGTTACACAAAACGGAGCATGCCCGCTCTGACCGGCTTTAAAGGGTTTTAATATAAAGTTACGGGGGCTCCCCATTTGTGTTGCTCATAGAAGTGAAGATGGTCTCCAGGGCTGGTCTTTCTTTTCAAGGTTTAAACTGTGGTATAAAAAAGATGATATTTTTTTTTCTCAATCACCTTTTTGTGTGAACTTACAAATCTTTACAAATACAAATAGATTTGCAATTTTTGCAGTTAGTGGTAAAATAATTCAATCCAAGCTGTAACTTGTTTAGTGCCTCCCAATAACCAAGCTATGATATCCTATGTTGATGATCCCTGTCCCTATTGTAATGATTGTTGGTACATATAACTAACAGAACCACTTAAAAAAAACTTTATGGTGATCAGGTGAGTCTGTGGTAATTTTTGAATTCTGTTGATTTAAAGCACAACGTAAGTCATCTCAGGGCAATTAGCTGGATAAAGACCTTAGTACTATCATCTATCCATCCATCTATCTCCATTAGATGGTGTCTGCTGAGTGGAGAAAGCTGTGAGGTATGCTCAGAAATAAACACTAACCAGGTTGCTCAGGAAATACCCTTGATTATGATGATACCTTTCAGTTCGGTCTTGGGAAAATCTGTACACAACATGTGACTAATACAAATGTGACAAATGTAACACAAAGAAATAATGGTGGCTTAACTTTCTCACTAAAATGAAGAAAAAAAGTTTTCCACACCTACAGTTATCCAGATTGCTGCACAAAAATATTGCATTATGTATAAAGGTTCTAATCTGCCTCTTGTAGGCACAACAACACTTGTTAGCACAGCACAGCTCTCTCTGTGTGACAGCACACACTGTTTGATATTCTGTAGGAAGGTGGAGCTCAACCAGTCAATTCCCAGTTGAGAGGAGGTGCCTTCAGTCTTCATCCAATCAGTGGCGTGTCCTGGGGGGGGCACAGGCCACCCCCCCAACCAGACTGGCCACCCCAGGTGCCACCCCAAAGGCAAAACAATAAAATTCAATCAAATATCCGATTATGTTTTCACGGGGAAGCTCAGATATCAGAGTGTAAGTGAATGCAGCATCGGCTTCTGCGCTATGTGCATCACGTTAGCAAAGGTAGGAGAGCCAAACGCGAAAGACGGCACTGCAGGAAACACTTTTTCGGTGAAAGAAAATGAGGACAGAATAAATGTCCCGGTAAATAATATTAAGTTTGTTGAGTTTAGTAAACTTCGGTAAAATTAGAATCCCAAGGAAAAAATAACACTTAAAGAATTATTGCAGCCGTCGAATATTTCAGACAGTATGCTACTGAGGGGAGCTAACATAAGAGTTATGAGTTATAAGAT